GCGCAGACTGCCTGATCAGCAGTCCTCTCCTACAGGAAGTCCCGTGGTCGGCCTCCTCTGGTGATTTGTGCTGGAGAAGTGGAACATGACTCCTCTTTTCCTCCACTTTACCCCCTTTTCTAATTTTCTCTCCTTCATTTCTCCTTTTCAGTCTCACCTTACCCCTTTCACGTCCTCTGTTCCTATCCTCCCTTTTCTGTCATTCGTATTTCTCACCCTTCTTCAGCGCAGCTTCGAGCCCGTTTTGCATCTCTTCCCTCAAACCGTTTTCTTACCGTACATCACATCCCTTCTTTCTTTTCTCCCTGTTCTCCCCGCGCAGCTTTTCCGCCACCTTCTGCTCGCTTCCTCTCCGGGAGATCTCGTCAAGAGGTGTAATGGTGTCTTAATCTGTGCCAGCATGGAACAGCTTGACCAAATGGCCGACGGACGACATTCAATTAGAGCTACAGTTTGCTTCTGCAGAAAGCAAGGACGACACACAAGTGAGCGGCTTTTCGCAAACTGAACCTCAATGTCCTGACTCATTTTAATTGAATCAGAATATAACTTCTTCAAGGCAGTTTCGAAAACATTTCACAAAAGACTACACAGGGACAGAAATTCCAGCCCTCCTTATTTCATATTTTCAGTTTCAGGGCTGATTATTTGTCTCCCACAAAGTGTTCTGTCCTGTACTTCCCACATCTAACTCTAAATGTTTCCCTTCTTTAATAAATGATTACAACGTTACGACTTTGGGCACAGCTACCACTCCTCAGGCGAAGGATTAATGATTCACTTTCATACACTAAAGTAGCTTTTGGACATTCAAACGCAGGATGGTTTGGTCAATTCATTCTTTGACTTGGTAGTGTAGTTGTCAGAGAGTCCAGCATTATATCAGTTTCTTGTGTTTGAGATTTAGCAGCCTGTATGCTGGAGCAGGTGGTGAAACTAAGAAAGAAAGTGCATGAGAGAGCGAGAGAGGATTGATCCGTGAGTGTTTTTTTGTCGGGTTTTGATGACGCCATAGACAGAGCTCCACTTCCTGCAGCCTGTGGCCCTGTCAGGAACAATCAGCGCTCCATGGGCAGATGAAACCCGAGGGCCTCGGAGCCTGGACGCCATTACAGTCGCTGTTACAGAGAAGCCGGATTCATATTATCCGTTTGATCTTTTTTTTTTTTTTTTTCTGATCCGAATCCAAATAATGGAGAGTTGTAACGCTGCCAAGACACTGAATGTTTATATGAGATAAATAAAAATATCTTGTACATGCAGTGCTCAAAGACAAACGGACTCTCAACTTATTTTTAAAGTGGAGAAAGATCAAAAAGTTCCACGCTCGAGCACATTTAAGCCTACATAGATTATACAAACAGCGTATTATTACTCAACAGCTGACACAGCGAATCGACCCATTAATGAATTGTTTAATCAAGTGCTCGTAGGTCGTAAGTCCCAAGGCTGTGTCACCCGTTCGGTAGAAACCCAACTTCCTCTATGACAACGTGTGCTGTGGGTCCTTCCCCTGCGTCCACAGATTGTGTGTCCGAAAAAGAAGAAAGCTGAACACCATATAGTCCCTATGATCTAACGCTTCATAGGAATCAGACAAAGAACAGTGGTTCTTCTCGCGTAAGGGACATTTTCCAGGGACTTTACCTGCGTTTCGACTGCGGGAATACTAATACTTTCAGATGGTCCAAGAACTATCGCGGTAGAAGACATTTTACTAAAGTTTCAAACACAAGCTCTGACACTGCTATTTGTGCAGTATTCATTCGTGGTGTAAGCAAACACTGGTTGTTGCTAGTATCAATGTTAGGATGAAGGACAGGAATTTCTCTTAATGTAATTGAAGTTTAATCTATAGCTGTACTGCTGCTGAGTTTTCCAGTCAAATCTAAAAAAAAAAAGTGCATAAAGTAACCATTTCTAATATTCCCTTTCTGCCTCTGCATATCCGCTTCATTTAAACATCCTATTCACTCAACACTAAATTACAAAGAGCAACACAAGGGCTCTGTATGTTGTCTTGAAGTGTGCAATAATTTCCCGGAACGAAGCTCTCCAGGCATTTCCCTCAGTGATGCTCTGGCTTTCATCTGTGTGGATAATGAGTGTGAACCTGGACCCCTCTGTGAGAAAATCCCCGCAGCAACCTGTAAAACCTGTGGGTGTCTGATCTGGTCTTGTGATCATGGATGCGTCTGCGTGTGTGCGCGCCGCAGGTGTGCTCCTCCTGTGTGTATGTGCACATCATTATGCAGTTTAGTCTCTGCCCGACAGCCTCGGTCTCAAACTTTAAACATCTTAAAATAATGGGTGATATGGGGGCAAACGCACACATTGCAATTTACAAGAGAATTCCCAAAGACAGTAGTGACCTGGGTGAAAAGTGTCAGTGTTTATGTGACTTTAATGACTCTGTATGTGCTTAAATATCGGTACGCAGCACGGAAGATGCTGCAGGAGAGTGTTGAGGTGTCTCTTATGTTTAGTTTTATCATGTGTAGTCATTAAGCCAAGCACTGCGTGGGCTCAGTCTTAATATAGCGTGGATCCTTCTGGGATTTTTAGACTTCAGGAGATGCTCAACTATCTGCAGCGTTCTTAATACATAACCTGAGTAAACCAAGCTTGCGTCCACAGGTAAAGGGTTTTATGTATCCTCTGTGCACACTTAGCTGCCACCAGTGTCAAATAAGATAGAAGTGTCTCTTTAAAATGTTACAGTTCTGTCTTCCTACAGTGATATTATTGCCTTTTCGACAACTGCAGGGCAGAGAGACTTGACCCCCACAGAGTCACTGTCCCTCAGTCTGTGGTAATGTCATTTTACTTCCATGCTGCCCATCAAACACCTGACATTAGATAGCACAGACTAATACAGAAGACTGACTCAAGCTCAGGCAGATTAGTTGGAGAATGTGTGAACAGCTGAATTTAGATCATTCCACAGATTTCTTTTTGATATTCAGGTCAGGGTAACTCAAGGATGTAACCATTCTTGTTCTGCGTCAACATCTTGTTCCAACTGTGCCAGAAAACTGCTCCCTTTTATTGATCTCCCCTCATTGTTTCCTCTTATCCTTGTATATCTCACAGTGCCTGTGGCTGGAAGGCACACGGCATGTTGCTGCAAATGCCATTTGTTAGGGTAGGAATGTTGTTAGGTGCATGATGGGTCCAGTTCCTGGAGAAGACGTTGGGTTTCGAGTTATGTTGTTACCAAACCTCTTTTTTTTTTGCTCGCAGACAGGCCGAAAATAGGCCATGAGGTAGATTTATAAGGCGTGCTTGGTCCGAAAGAATGTACAATATATCCAAATTTTGCCAGATGTGAATAGCATGCACTTCACTCTGGAAGCCTTCTTGGTTCTGCAAGAGCCATTTTACCATTTAGAAAACATCCTTTTAAGATTTGGTTTAGGGAAATTCCATGAATTGGTTCCCAAATGTTGAGGCTGCTGCTTTATGGATGTTGTTGATCATATAGGAATCAGTCGGTTTATCTTCTGTCTGCACTGTATGCATTTTATTTTATTTCCATCCTAAAGCCCCTGTGAGATACATTAACATGGCTACTGAAAACCCACTGCTAACGTTGAATCCATTAAGAAACACAGGGTAAATATGACTCTCCCTTTCTCCCTCCCTCCCTCTCTCTTCCTCTGTCCAGACATTGTCTTCAGCAGTGGTCCAGGTGTTCACAGCAGAAAGGAACTCCAGCTGGAACAAGAGATGCTGCGGGGTGGCCTGTCTGGTCAAAGACAATCCCCAACGATCCTACTTCATCAGGGTCTTTGACGTGAGGGTGAGTAAATCGCATCGTTGCGGTTCATGAGTGCAGTGGCAGATGATGGTGTCCGCCACAATTAATATCCAGTGGTGGTGCACCACCGTTTGATAATAACGAAGACTTTATTTTTATAGTGGGGTCTGTGGGATGTCCTGCAGCATTAACCGTTTGTGTTTTCCCTCAGGATGGTAAGATGATGTTCGAACAGGAGCTGTACAGCAACTTCAACATCTACCTCCCTAAACCTTACTTCATCACATTTGCTGGAGATGTGAGTTTTCCTCCCGACAGCCTTTTTTTTTTTTTATTTCCCATCCTCTGTATTCTAGGTCAGCACACAAATAAACCCCACTTTCTGCCTCTCATGCAATCAGCATGTTTACATCAGAGACACTTTCATTCATTATTCCACTTGAGTCATTGAAAAAGGCCACCCATGTCCTCGAAGACAATTTAATTAAGACCTAGCTGTTCGATTGACAACACTTAGTCAGCGCTTTAAAGACATTTCCTCAAGGACTCTTCTATGATAGTGGTGCAAAAAATATTCTGTCACTTGTACAGTAACCTGTTTCACAAGCTTTATATCACATCCAAAGCATTTGATGTGTCAAGATGCCCTTTATCTGTGGCTGGTGGGTACAGTGGCTCAGTCTCCAGCAGACCATGAGGTATGCGGGACTGCTGATTGTGGTGATAAGGCGGGGACTGATCACTGCACACACATCATGGAGCATAGCTAGTTGGCACTTTACAAATGTATTTGTCTCACATTTTTACACATTTCTTCTGTGTATTTGTGTGTGTATATGTGTGTGTGTGTGTGTGTTTACAGACATGCCAAGTGGGTCTAAACTTTGCCAGTGAGGAGGAGACCAAACGTTTCCGTGGTCATGTGGGAGAGCTAATGGGGAGAAGACAGAGAAAAACTGGTACCAACTTGCTGCTGCTGACGACTTACCTACAAACCTACCTAGCAACCTCCCTACTGATCCTGACTTATTGGAAAAAATGACACGTTTAGCCAATTTTGATCTTGTGTTCAAAATTAACCAGCTTTTTAAGTTTGTTTCAAGTCAAACCGTGCTACTATAGGGATAATGAATATAGCAAGTCGGAAGTCATTCTGTCTTTACTTTAGTTGTGTGTCTTTTTAAAAGGTGCAATAACAATATTATCTGACATGGCTTGACTAGTGTGAGTACAAGATCAAATAGATTTTTAAACGTGTCATTTTTTACAGTGCTCAACCATACAGAACTGGGCAAAAAAAATTCAAAATTTCAATACATGGACAAAATAAATGTATAGGCACTAGACTTATTCAGCAATGTATTCCAGCTGTCTTTCAAGTGCCAGTCTCACCATAGCTTCATGTACTGAAAGCAGTTACAGATTTTTTTTGCCTGAGTCTGTTTACTTTACCATCTGATCCTCTTCTTCTGAACCACTGCAATCTCTTCCTTTGATAACACATATCACAAGCTTACAGTCTGCAACCAGTCAAATTGCATTTCTGCCACACAATGACAGGTCATATAATAATCCAGTCTATCTGTTCACTATTCAAAGTTATCTTTAAAAAACATCTCTCCATTTTGATTCTTTAAGAAAACCTTTCAAATAGTCGCTGGCAGTTTGTTCTTTCACAGAAACTGCTTACAGTCTAGGAGACCACTCTGGATCAGTTTTCCTTTGTTTATTTCACACCACCAGTTTATTTTTTTAGCAAAACCTTGTGGATGCGTCACAACAGTCCGTTCAGAGGTTTGAACAGATATGCAGAGTGGCCCAAAGGGGGCACTGTAGTTTCAGGTTAAAATGAGAAAAAGACAGGGCATCATCCCTCATAACATTTCCAGAGTTATGATAATTGTATAATGGGACATTTGGTACTATTTTTCCCTTAAAATGTTAATTACAATAATACATAAACGGCTTTCAAGAAATATTTTTTCTTTAAAATACTTAACATTTACATGGTTTTAATCCACCGCCAACAATTAGACTTTGGGATTTCAAAAGTCCTCGTAAAAACTGCAATTTTACAAAATGTTGCTGTGCATCATGTCTTCTATATTATCTATCTAAGGAAATGAGCCGTGAATGTTTGTGTTCACCCGAACAGACTCGCAGACTGAGGAATAAATTGAAAACACATTGTTTATGCAAAGCCGCACAGACCACATCCATAAACTTCTTACTGGCACTCAGTCCTTAACTTTTCTCCTCACTTGCTTGATTAAGACCGTCGGTCTTCCTTCCTCCTCTTCTGTGGGTCATTTCCTGACCCTTCAAATGGATCGTTCTTTCATCTTTTCCCCTTCAGCCCTCTGCATTGGGTGCCTAATCTTATCCTCAAGCCTTCTTCTGTTTGACCTTTAGCCACTGGGAAACTCAAGCCATCAGTATTTTGTGTGTGTGTGTGTGTGTGTAATTTGTGTTTATATTCTTGGTAGTTTTATTTGAGAGAGAAAGAGAGACGTGTATTGTCCTCTGCAAACCACTGAATTTATATTTATTATGGATATAATATTAGCTGTGTGTGTGTGTACAATGTCTCATTTACATCTCCTAAGCACACTAACAAGACACTTTTCTTGGCAATCTTTCCAAATAACTTTCCATTCTGCGCAGCCACATGCACAATCCCGCCGAGCCCTGTTCTTAAAAACCAATAAACTCTCTTTTGTGCGCTCTGACGCACTCACACGTTCGCTCCTCACTAACCACAGCCCAACTACTCAGCGCAGGATTGTAACGATTTCATTTGTCTGTGTGTTCACAGAGAAGAGACGCGACCCTCTGAATGGTATGTTTTCCAATGTTTTTCCTGTGAGTAACTTCAGAAATAAACAGAAGAGACGTGTAAAGCCAGAGTCAGAGCTGTATCTGATGGTATCCTGTTTGGTATGTCAGATGGGTGGAGTTTCAGGATCATTCAGAGAACTCAAGACTGTATATCCTGTCCCTAACATTGTGGAAATTATAGCATTCATAGCATTTCATATTCTATGTAGGAAGAATAAATTGAATACCACAAAGACTGACTATATAACTAGAGATTAGTTAAATTATAGCTATTATCAACTAAATCATGAGCTATATGTATTCACATTGTCTGGTAAGACATCAGCATCTGTGTCTAATTTGCTTACAACATACTAACACTAAGCAGGTTTTCAGTATAAAAACACTTTTTGAGTGTGCTGTTGATACACACTGTTGTCCCACAATGCAAAGCTCAAAGGTAATAGAGTTCGTAACAAACGAACAAAAGATAACTATTAATTCTTTAGTTAAATCAGCAGAGGCTTTCTAAAATGCTTGATTGATATGTATTAGTAAGTATGCTCTGTAGTACTATAATGGAAGTAGTATGTAGTATAGAAATGGGACACTGTTATTGTCTGCTGTACTTCCTATCCTCCATCGTACTTTCGTCTTTAGTGCAGTGTGTTTCTATAAGATTAAGCTTAAAACAACAGGAAAAACAGGTTGTCCGGTTGTAAACACAAACAGCTCTATACATATTGTCCACTAAAGCAGGCTGGTTTTGTTTTGTATAATAATGAGTGAAACTGTGTAGGAATCCAAAGGAAAAGAAAGTATGTGATCACAAAACCATTACAGTACCATTACATTCAGTCTAACATAGTATTACAGCGCCCTGCAGTGGAGTTTTGATCTGTGAACTACGTACCCTTCACGGTCTGACGACTCAGTGTGGTCTGATGACTAAACAGATTTGTGGATATGCACACTTTTGTTTTTGGACATACGGTGTTACACACACAGCCTAGTTTTACACAGAGGAGGGAGCCAGTTTTGGACCGACAGACAGCATGATTTGACGCAGCTGGCTTATAAATAATCTGTGTGTGTGCATGCAGCCGTGCAGAGGTCATCAGCACACAAATGACACATTTACGCTTTTAGCTGATGCTCGTATTCAGAGCAGCTTAACGGCACCGGGCATGTGGATGCTTTGCTTTGGGTCACGTGCTCCCAGATGCCATATATGGTCGTACATGACGTGTGTAAAAGAACATGTAACTCTGCGATATACAGTAAACCATTTTGGGGTTAATGGTTGACTTCATTTGAAGTGTTTTCTAAAAGGAAGGTGTTCCGTTTACCTGCCATGCATGAATACCAGTTTCTACTGTCATGCGAGATTCCTGAATAAGAACATCTTGTGTGGGAATTGGTTCATTTCCAAAGGAAGTCATACTTGTCCTCCCACAGGAACATCTCCTCTCCATCTCCATCTGTCTCACTCTCACTCAAGATTACTGCATCATAGCTTTGTTACTCTGTCATCTCCAGTCTGGCTCTTGTTGTCCTTATATTCTGCCCTTTTTCCTCCTGCTGCCCTTTCCAGCTCTCCCCTCCTCATCATTTGGCCTCATCTGCCCTCTGCTCTTCAGTTAATGTCTTCATTTTCCTCTTTTCTCTCTATTTTTCTCCGTCTGCCTCAGTTGCTCTAACTTTCTCGCCTTTTTGTCCCACGCCGCGGATTCATCATGTCGTAGAAACCGCTGAGATTAACGTGGGATTATGCACGGATGGGTTTTAATGGTTACGTAAAAGCCAGCACTAAATCCAGAATGATTTGCTGGGATTAGATGCATTTGTGTGTTTTGCAGGGAGAGGGAGGAGACGGTAGTGGAGGTGGGTGGAGAAAATGATCACAGCGAGCCAATCCGAGCTTGATAATCCTAACAGCGTGCCCTGCTGAGATGGAAAGTCAGGGGAATAGAAGATGATTGCAAGATGGATAGAAAATATGCAGAGCTTAGACACACAGATAAAGCAGGGAATTGTGAACAATTCGCATAGAAGAGAACGGTTGCTGTGATGGAAGGAATGCAAGAGGACGCGTAAACTTTGGCTGTTGGCTGGCGAAGTGTTGGCTGGCTCTTTTCCCTTATGATGGCATCGCTGGACGCCTGCCTTCACAGCTCAGACAGTATGCGTGTAAACTCCACCAGATGTCTGACGAGGATATTAATTTCGTAAATGCAGACTGTTGCATCAAGTCCGTCATAAATTGGCTTATTGTGTGTGCTGGTGTTTTGGTCGTGTTTTGGAAAACTTCGGGATCATCTTGGCTTTCAGGTTTCAGTCAAGAGAAAACCTTTTACCTAAGAAGACTAGAATCAGTTCTGATGAATTTGCTTTTTACCTGCCTACAGAGTCGGGTTGAAGAGGAAGTTGTCCTTTTTGGGAAGCAGTCTTACCCTGTTATGGGTGATTTTAGATTTCTTTCTTGACTGAGAAATAATACCTCAGAATCTGTCTGGCGCCAAAACGTGGCTGTTTCTGAACCACCAATCTACGTTCAAATTCATTTATTTGAACCAGGGTCTTCCTTGGTGTGTCTATCTCGAGCCGTACAGCTCATGCCCAGTCAGCTCATACAATGATGTTCTGCACCACCTTCCTGTCTGCTCCCTCAGAGAACCTCAATTGTGAGGGCAGTGGAGGAGGAGCAGTAGGAGGTGGAGGTCTGAGCCCAGGGAGCTGCCTGTCATCTTTACACTGCCTGGTTCTCCCACAGGACGAACTGTACCCACCTCTCTCCGACCCCACCGCTCAGCTCTCCGTCTGCCCCAAAGAGCGAGCGCACAAGTTGGTCGGCAAAATGTTTCTCGACGTCAGCATGACCACCTGCAGAGCAAGAGACAGTGGGTGCATTTGGGACAGGGTGAGAAGGCGGCGCAGTCGGTCCGCCTCGCCTTCGCCCAGCAAAACTCCCAAAAGTCCATGTAGTGTGAGTGTTAAAGGTATGTGCTACAGCTGAGGCACTGGGAGGAGTTGTGGTTATGAAACTTACCTGTTGTTGAAATCCATGTTGATTGGCTTAGTGTGTATGATGGAGTTGCTGTTGGTTAGCCGTGTATAGTAGACGACACGTGTGTCATATGTGCTGTTAAAACGGGATGTCGTTCATCAGCCAGAGATCTTTTGCGTTATTCTGTGATGTCAGTTTGGCAGCTCATTGTTATTTCTGCCTGTCATAATCAGGTCTCACTGAGATTAACATGTCATGAAGGCTTCCCTCGTTAAATGAAGGTTAAGTAAATAAAGAACATCAATTTACATAGCTGGCAAAAGTGAGCTCCCTTGAATAAATAAGAGCTCAGAATTAATATCATTCATCTGTCACCTAACTGACAGAACAAGTTTACCAACAGATTTTAAACCTGTATCTCAAAGACATTGTACGCTTTGGTGATAATGTTTGTTTGATCAGTTTTCGGTCTGTCATTTAGTTCCCACAAGCTGTTTTTACACCCACAAACCCAAATAAACTTTGTCTGACCTTTCTGTGCCAAAACAGTCTGTAATAGCCATTAAATTATTTAATTGAAGGATTGCTGCTGTCCCTTGAATTTCAACTTGGAGCCAACAACTCGACCCACTTTTTTTTTAATGAAACAGTAAACATGTTACAATTATTTCAGCCCTTTTGATGTGAAATGGGGTATATGTCTTTAACTGTTCTCTATGCATTCCACGTGCTGTATTATATAAACCATAACTTTACTGTCTGTGTCATTTTCAAGGCCCAACGTTGCCCATGGCTACCGTGGACATCAAAAACCCAGAGATCAGCAATGTACATCGTTACCATAACAACTCTCAGGTGAACAACATTGTCCACTCCTCCTTCCCCAAGAGGGAGAAGAAGACCAAGGGGAAGAAGAAGCGGTTAACCAAGGCGGACATCGGCACACCGAGCAACTTCCAGTGAGTCCAGAGAGCGCAGCAGGGCGGGGTTCAGCTCAGGTGGTGGATAAACATTCTTTGACCTTCAGGTTCCCTTTGTACCTAAACACCTCTCACCATTTGTCCGTCACACGACATTGACTTTTTGACGTACCATGTTGCGTAATGTGCCATAACCCAAAGCGCCTGTCAATTTGACGGCATTCTGCGCTAGATGATAAAATGATGTAGCCATAACTCGGATATCGAGATATCTACGTGACTCTAGGTTTATTGTAAACATGTTTCCCACATGACACATTGGCCCAGAGTCCCATATCCCTCTGGCCCCTATAAGTGCTGGTGAATCTGGGCGGGGCATTAATCCTGCCGTCTTCATTCAGAATCCAATCATATACAGTGTGTAGTATGATTGGTAATACAGGGAAATCTGAGCTGTGCTTTCAGGAATAGCCAGTGGCAGCTTTCATAATCTTTAATGAGATAGAGCAGGTTACCAATGGGCCATCTCGATGGAAAAACAAAAACAAGGGTCAGGTCATCATGAACTTTGCGGCAGTTTAATCCACCTCTGCTTGTATGTCTCTTCTTCTTTTCTGGGTGGCGGGGGGATGTACTGTACATATCTCACATGTTCTCTGTCTTTTTGCTTCTCTCACAGGCACATTGGGCATGTAGGATGGGATCCAAACACAGGCTTTGATGTAAGTACAACACAAGAATGTAATGTCAACATGCATCTCCGCACACGCTTTGGAGTACATGACCTCTAAATGTTCTTAAAACTTGGCCCGCAGTTTATGTGTTTGTCAGTCAAACATCCCCCTTCCAGACAGATTTTTCAAATTTAATATCGGCTCCAAAATATTAAGCCGAGCTGCGCTGCCAAGTCATCAGGAGGGTTACACAAGGAGATTTTGGAGGGAAGAGAATCAACCTGCATCTGCATAATCCATGGACTCAAAGCGTCATCAGTAATTATGCTGGATGATGAGTATGAGATCATGCAGGTCAGAGGACTAAGCTCTGTCTGTAAATGAAAAAAGATGAAATTCAGATGATTTGGTTTCATAAGTTAATGCTTTCAAGGACTTAGATTGATTTGAATGGGTGACGTCAGTCGAACAAAGCTCGCTCACCTCTCTGAACCTCTGATTTAAAGCTCCACCACAAATGAGGAAAGGAATATATCTTATAGCCTTACTAGCTAAATTTGTCTCTTTTCTTTTCTATCCTTACCGCCATGATACTGTAGATGAAGTAATGCATAGAGATCCCAGCTTTTGAAGTAGTAATCCACCCCAGAAACACTTTCAGAAGTTCATAGTTTTCTTTACACGACAGTAGCTGTGGTCAACTTGAATTCATTCATTCATATGTATAATGCAATAATCAGTATCTGTCCATTCAGTTCATCCATACAAATGTATTATTAACAGCTTAGTTGTTTATGAGAGGGAAAAAATCAGTATTGGCAGATAAGGTTGCAGCATCTGTATCAGAATTAAAAAGAGGTATTGAGCCATCACTAGCCATAAGTATTTATCAATTAACCTATTAACAGGACATAATTACATAATTAAATCAACAGTATACTTTTACTTTTTTTTGTGGCTTGCTCTTAATCATTTCTGCTGGCAACAGAATACAATATGGAAAACAGAAGGGAGAACTCTAATAACTGAATATAAATAATGCCCCATTTTAACCACCAGGTGGTAGTATAATGGCTGCCATTGTGGTCACATTTTGAGCTTACTTAGATGAATATCTTCACAGAGGAGAGTGTAACATCACAAATTATTTTTAAAAAAAGTTACTTTTCACATACTCACTCTTTCCTACATGAACCAGTTGATGTTTTTTACAGATTTCTGACAGCCAGTGTCAAACTGGGTAATCCTGCTTTTCCAAATGTCCCTTCTAATCCTAACTCAACTCTTAACATGTCACATAATGTGTTACTGAGCTGCAAAGCTCATAAATACAGATTAAAACCAGTGAAATCACACATCCGATCTTAACACATAGAGCTTATGATCTTATATAGATTATACATGAGCAGGTATGAGAGCAGCAGCAGCAGCAGCAATGCCACTCTGTTATAGCCAGTATGTTCTATTTACTGTGGCCGGGAGGCTAATATTGTTTATAAATGAATTAATGAACCCATAATGATACAAAATCAGTTGATGATTATTTGAGTTTCTCAATGAGGTGGACAGGGTTAGGAATTTGTTACTGTGTGAACATTCATCCTCCACTGTTACCTTACCTTCCTGTTTTCTCTCTTCAGTTGAATAACTTGGACCCAGAGCTGAAGAACCTGTTTGATATGTGTGGCATCTCTGAGGCTCAGCTGAAGGATAAGGAGACCTCTAAGGTCATCTATGACTTCATCGAGAAGAAAGGAGGCGTAGAAGCTGTCAAAAATGAGCTACGGAGACAAGGTAAGGCAGATACACTGTTGGGAATTCTTATTGTCTTCTGACCTATAAAACACCTGTTATTGATATAGTAGCAATAGTGAATGGGGGGACTCACACCCACAGTAAATGTTTATATACTGGCTTTGGTGGAGAGTTCTTGCACCATGCTGTTCACTGAGACTTGTTAAATGTGATCTATGCACGTGTTTTCGCAGCACACTGATGATGCGAAATACATTTTAAAGGGTCGATTTTAAGATACTCTAACTGTGGTGGTGGTTCTATCCCCAGGTCCGCCCAGGTGGAGTGGTAGGTTTCTATGCATGACCTGCTGTGACAGCTCATGACTGTGCATGTCAAGTTGGACCGTAATATGACCTAAGAATTCAGCTATAGTGTGTGCAGTTTTTTGCAGTTCCTGAAGTTAATTCAGTGTTTTTGCTGTGCTGTTTGGACTTGAGTTGGATGTTTTTTTTATCATTAGCTATTAACTTATTATTCTGGAGTGTCATGACTACAACCGGAGACGTTAAAAACGTTACATTCCTACACAAGGCTGCTTCATCTTGTTAGATATCCTTCCTCCTGTTACATTAAATGATTTGTGCAATGATTCATTTCTGATATTTAACTTGCGTCGTAGCCAAGCTTGTAATCTCTAGCTCTTGTCCGCCTCACTGTAAACACTATGCATATATTCTGTCACAGTTTTCAGTAACAACATTAACATTAGTTACATGCAAGAAGGCTGCCCCCAGTGGCTTGTTTACATAACTGCATGATGCATTGATACAAAGCAACAAGAATTGGGAAACTGACTTGCATTTTGTTAATACATTGTGGCATTAATTAACTTTTTATTTATTTTAATGATAATTTTGAGATCTAAACGAAGATCGTCTTACAAATTTGGAATGGGGTTTTCCAAATTTGTATTCAAATTTTCAGTTTCAGAATTGACCTTTATCAAATGGTAAAAAGATGTAGAGCAGTATTACTGTATAATCAGTTTTAGACAAGAACACTTGTTAATGCAAGAAGGCTGCCCGCATGATGCATTGATACAGGCAACCTGAAGTTCACATCGCATTTTTGATGCAGTGAAATCTTCTGTGACCACTCAGATCTTTTAGCTGCCCCTTCATGAAAGTCATTTGTAGATTAAAAAGTAAAAAAATACATCAAATTTGGTTGTTCTTCAGCTGACTGATTACAACTTCGCTCTTATTTTAATTTCAAGTTGTTGTTTGTTTCTCTCTGCAGCTCCTCCACCCCCTCCATCCAGAGGTGGCCCTCCTCCCCCACCCCCACACCACAGCTCAGCTCCTCCTCCCCCTCCCCCTGCCCGGGGGCGAGGTGCCCCGCCGCCTCCTCCC